CCAGGCCGATTCCAGAGGCTGCACCCCACTCTTGACTGCTTCCTCCATGGGCCACCGGGCAGCGGTAGAGACCTTGCTGCTTTGGGGGGTGGCCATTGACGTCCTGGACAGTGAAGGCCGGAGCGCTCTGGGTCTTGCAGCCGGACAGGGCAGCGAAGCCGTTGTGCAGGCTCTGCTCCAGCGAAGCTTGGATGGAAACCACCCAGATGGGCTGGGCTGAGCTGGGCCTCGCTGCACTTGGCCGCCTGGCAGGGCCACCACAGGACATGTGCAGCTCTTCTGGAGGCTGGAGCCCGTGTAGGTGAGCCAAACCAGGACGGCCACATCCCGCTGATGCTGGCAGCCCAGGAAGGACTCACCGATGTTGTGCAGCTCCTGCCTGGAGCACCACTCCCCCATTGACCACCAGGGCCATGATGGAGGACCATGTGGAGATGGCCGGATTGTTATTGGAGCGTGGGGCCAGGCTGGAAGGGCGGGATGCCCAGGGCCGCACTGCGTTGCATGTCACCTGCTGGCAAGGGCAGGGGGAGGCCACCCAGCTGCTGCTGAGCTATGGGGCGGACGTGGATGCCCTCGACAAGGAAGGCCGCTCGGCCTTGCACCAGGCTGCCTGGCAGGGCCACGGGAGCATCGCACACCTGTTGCTGGGGAGGGGGGGCACAGCCCAACCACAGTTGCAGCCAAAGGAACACTGCTCTGGGCGTGGCCGTGCAGGAAGGCTGGGCTGACGTGGCGAAGGTATTGCTGGAGCACAGGGCCAGCCCCGATGTCCGGGACAAGGCAGGCCACACCCCAAGGTGGCTGGCAGCCAAGCGGGGTCAACAGGCCGTGCTTAAGCTGATGGAAGGTTACGGGGCCTGGCCGGGACCGGCATCTCCCCAGCTGGGCTCTTCCAGCAGCTCGGCCAGCAGCCCCGTCCCCCAAGGCAGGTGGCGGGGCAAGTCTCCTGTGCCCTGGCTGGGCTCCACCAACGAGTCGCAGGCCTCCCAGGGCTCTTCAGCCACCACGTCCACTTTCCCCTCCCTTGCTGTCCCCCAAAGAACCCCACCGGACCCCATCTCTGGGGCAGAGCAGATGCCGCAGTACTGCCCACCCCACCAGCCCCAGCCAGGCCCCTTGGCCCTTCCACCACCGCCAGCTCAGGAGAAGCAGCGCAAGGCATCCAGGGGAGGGGCGATCTCCATTGACCCGCTGGCCTCCCACCTGCACCACAAAGCAGCCACCAAGCTACAGTTTGAGGGCCCCACTAGTGGCTGTCACTACAAGCAGGAAACTCCCCTCTGATCTCTGCGGCACCAGGGCAAGACTGGTGGGGCTGGTTGGCCAGAAGTCCTCCTGTGGGGGCTTTAGCCCTCTTGGCTCGGAGTGCTGGGGGGGGTTTCCTCTTCAGGACCTCCAGTGCCCCCCCCAAGACCTGCTCCAGCTTTGGAAAGGGGGGGCATCCAAGAAGGGGCCCCCAGAAATGCCACTGGGGTATCAGAGGCTTTACCTGCTTCCTGGCCACGTGGGGGTCGCCTTCCTCTCGGCAGCTGAGAGTGTCCCCAGGAAAGGGGGCCGGTGACCCCCAGCAGCCTGTACGAAGAGGCACCCGGGCCCTGGCTGGCTTTCTGCACATGGGCTAAGCATAGAGCTGGTGCACCACACAGTGCCTGCTGGCGCACAACCTCTCAGCACCAAAGAACCACCGTTACGGTTTAAGACGGTGGCCTTGTTGGCACAATGCACTGGATTCCACGCCAGCCAGACCTTTTCCGCTCCTCTCTGGCCTGGTGTGAATTCAGTTGCTGACTGGCCTGGGGGGGAGGGATCTTGCCCCACAACCCCTCAACCTCTGGCTGCAATGAAGGGCTCCTGCCCTAGGACAGGGTTCAGCTGGATGACCTCTAGGATCTCTTTTGGTGGCATGTTAAAGTGCTGCGGAGGGAGGGAGGCCCCTGGGACTGATGCATCCTTTCTCCAGTGGGCAGAGAGCAAGCCGGACAGAGGCCTCCTGTGTCCCTGGCCTCTCTGACTACCTGGGGTGGGGGGATGATCCGAAAGGGGTGTGGAGGAGGAGCTCAATAAAGGTTCAGCCGGCTCTGGTGTTCCTACTGCATTGTCTGTTGGGATCCTTGGGGGGGAGGGGAGGGGGGAGGGGGCCCGGATGGGGTGGAGAAGGGGGTGGACATGGCCCCTCTGTGCACCCGAAGCATCCGCCCCACGCAGAGGCCTTCCAAGCACCCAGGAGCCTTCGGGGGGGGGGGGCATAACGGCTCCAAAGGCCAAGGCTGCCCCAGGGGCTCAGTTAAGGGAGGGGGGCAGGTGCCCTCTCCTGCGACAGGCCGGGGTCCAGCCAGGGCCTGAAAGGCACAAAGAAGCTGCGTCAGGCAGGCCATCCTGGCCAGAAGAGGCACCTGGCTGTTCCCTGGAGCTTTGGCTGCTTCCTGGCCGAAGGCCACCAGACAGGGGCCGGCCGGTCCTCTGCCAGAAATGCCACCATGGCTGGACACGTGGGATGACCTCCAAGGTCCCTTCCAGCTCTAGGATTGAGGAATTCTCTTTCCCGGCAGCCCTGTCTCCCACCGAATTGTCCACGCCCTGCCAGAACATCCGTGGGCTGCCTTTGAACGCTCCCTGGGTCCTGCGTGGGGTTTCTCCTCCTTAAATTGCAGAGGGACGAGCTTGGCCACAGCGGAGGAGGAAGTCGGGCTTTGCACTGTTTTGTTATGCAACCCTTGAGCTGACAACTTTGTGGGGGTCTTAGAGGCTTGGGGGCCACACCTGACCACAAAGAAGCCTCTACACATGACGCATTTAGCCACTGGGACGGAGTCCGCCCGGGGGCATCCCTTTCCTCCACCCCATGGGCCCCTGGGATGCGGGCTTGAGTGGATGGGGGCTGGACGGGGCCGGCTCTTGGCCTGCCTCGGTCCTGGCAACCAAGGAGGGACGACCCAAAGGAGCTTATTCGTCCAAGAGACCTCTGAAGAACTCCAGTGCTGCACTGGACCAGAGAAGCAAAAGGCCTTCGAGGGAAAAGCCAAGAAAGTTGGGGAAAGGCACCTTTGGGCCAACGAGGCACCGCGGAGAATCTCCCAGCCATGAACAGCGGGTGTGTGTGTGTGTGTGTGTGTGTGCAAAGCAGGACAAAGGCCGCTGGGGCCAGAGGGCAGAGCCAGGAACAGCCTTGCCAGGGTACTGACCAGGCCCCTCCTGCCCTCCCTCCTTCCCTCCGGGCCCTGGGCAGGAGGGCGGGGAGCCCTTCCTTTCGCCAAAGCCTCCCAGGCTGGCGCTACTGAGGGCCAGGGCAGCCCAGGCCATCTAGGGCCGAGCAGGGCAGCCATTTCCAGAGCCAGCCCCATCAGCAGTGGGGCTCTGAGGCTGCCCACAGATGGCGCGAGGGCTGCCAGCTGGTGCAACCAGAGAAGAGGGGCAGCAGCATCCCTTATGCCACCCTTGTGGCCTGCTGGAGGGCAGCCAGCTCTCACTGCAGCTGGGTCCAACTGCTCCTCTTCTGCAGCAGTGTGGCAGGCTGGGCTCCCACAAACCGTACAGCAGCTGCGCCAGCTGACCCCGGCCTGGCTGAATGCCAGCACCACAGAGCAGACCTTGGTGTGCCGGGGAAGGAGGCCAGTAGCCCAGGGGGGCATAGAGTGTCCCTGCCTGAGGAGGGGAGAGGGCGGCTCAGCTGCGCATGCATGGACGCAATTCAGCTGGCCAACCTGAGCAGGCCGAATACACCCGTGCCTTAAGCACCTCCGGTCTAAACTAGCACAGTGCCCTCTAGGTGGGGCTGCCCTTGAAGACCATTCTGAAGCTGCAGCTGGTCCAGGTGGCAGCAGCTCAAGCATGCCTCGCTTCCCGGATGTGCCACTTGCAAGGGTGCCCTGTTGGCTCTGGGTGCCATATTTAAAGCCTCATGGTTGGCACCTCCTTCCCTAAAGAAGGGGCTGCTCTGATTGGGAAGAGGGGATCCCCCAGGTTTCCCCTTCTTAAACAGATCCATCCCCAGGACTCTCCAAGGCTACCAGAGCAGATTCCTCTCCCCCCCCCTCTCACACACACACACACACACAGAGAGAGAGAGGAGGGAAAGGGGATCAGAACTTCTAGCTGAGATTCCTTGGGTGATTCAATCTTGGGATTCCTCGGCGTAGCAGTTCCTAGGATAGAATCTGACTGGCTGCTTCTTGGGGTCTTTTTAATCTGGCTTGTTTGTGGTCAGGTGTGGCTGCCACAGCCTGGGAGCCCTGCAAGGAAACCTTCCAACCGACCGAAGAGGCAGGAAAGGGCCGATGCACTCAGGAGCTCGAGCTTCTGTTACTGAGGCCGCTATCGATGAAAGCGCAGGGCAGCCGCTTGAAAGCCAAAGCCCATTCCACCTCTTCACTTTAAAAGAGTGTAACTAAACCACCAGAGTTTTTGCCCACGAATATTTTCAGTTGGAGAAGCTGATTTATGACACCCAGCCTGTGAAGGTGCTCAGTTGGAGACTCTGGTTTATGAGATACCCGGGGGGGGGGGACAGGGTCCCAGGGGACTCTGACGTCTGCCAGAGTTGGCTGCGTCCAGGGCAGGGCCAGGATGTCGCCTCTAATGAATCCTTGGAAGGTTTTTGGAGTTTGGTTGGAGAATCATGAATTAGGGCGATTGCTGGAATCCTGATATCGAGTTTCACCTGGCCTTGGGGAGTCGGTTTCCTCATTTGTCCTACCTTGCAGGGCTGGCTCTCCCTCTGCATCCTTTGTGGTTGCAGCCAGCCTCCCCTACCCCCACCCGTGGCAGAGGAAGGTCACTGCTTCTCCTCCTCCTCCTCCCCTCGCCCAGATGATGATGCAAGCAGAGCAGCCTTTGTGACTTCACAGGCCAGCGGGCCCTGCTGCCTCCAGGACTCTGGGGGAAAACCCTCCTCCGGAGCTCCCCAACTGGCTCCCCCCCCGTCTCCCCTGGCTTCCCTTATGGCCCACCCTCCCACAAACACCCCAGACCCCTTCTGGGCCAGCCCCACAGCTGGCAAGATGGACGGCGGAGGGAGTCCAAGTCTCAAGATCAGCGAGGCAGATGCCAACTGGGAACTGATCCGGGACAAGGTGAGAGGGCAGAGCGGGCACCGGGAAGGGCATTGCCCCAGAGGGCTATGGGTGCAGCCTGGATGCGCATATCAGGGGCAGCTGGGGCAGAGCAGGGCCCCTTGGCCTGGATGGGGAGAGGCTCAGCAGCTGCAGGAAGGAGGCGGTTCCGGGGAACGGGGTGTCCTTGACAGGACAGCCCTGGACACCTGGGCCCCTTTGGTCATGGGGAGCTAACGGTCCCCTTAATCGATGGACATCTCTCCAATGAGGGAGGGAGGGAGGGAGGGAGGGAGGGGGAGAGAGAGATGTACTTGCAATTGGAAAGGACATCCCTGGGAGGAAGAGGAAGCTCGCTCAGGAATGAAATGGACTCCACGTGTCCCAGGATAACGCTGCAGGATCCAGTCTGGGTGGGTCACCAGGGCCAGAGAGGGGCAGTGGTGGGGCCCGTCCCCAGGGAGCTTCCCTCCATCAGAGGGTGGCCTGTCCTGCATGGGGGTTGATACGGTGCCTCGTGTGTGTGTGTGTGTCTTTAATTGATCTCTAGAAAGCCACTTTAGAGCCCAGGAGAGCCCAAAGGACGCCCTCGGTTAACGGAGAGAAGCTCCCTGAGGATGGCCTCCAGCCCGAGCCTCTCGGGTCCTGGTGACCCACCCGGATTGGATCCTGCAGAAAGAGCCTTCCTCCAGGCCAAACTAATACCCGGTTTGGCTAAGCTGGCCTTCTGGCTGCTGCTGCTGCTGCTGCTGCCGCCAAGGAGAAGGGGTGACCGAGCTGGGCGTGCAGCAGAACGGCCCTTCTGCTCGCGAAGGGCCGGGACGGCCGTGCTCCCCGTGACAGCCTCTGTCTCCCTGCAGGTCATCGAGGAGCGCTTCGGGCCCAGCGTGGTGCCGGTGCCTTTCCTGGAAGACGCTGCCTCCTACGACCTCCTGACGGTGCTGATCAAGAAGCCGCAGCTGGGGCAGAGCCTCCTGCGCCGGCAGTGCTTCCTGGTGCCCATCGGGCCCCTAGAAAGCCTGCTGCCCAGCGGGCCGGCCCCCAGGGAGCTGACCCACTGCACCCGCGAGTACAGTGCCCGCGTGAGGGGCGAGTCCCGCTACGAGGAGACACGGCTGGTGGACGGGGCACTGCGCCACATCCGCCTCTGCCTGGCCGGCGTCCACAAGAAGGTGGCCTTCTTGGCGCTGCGCCCCGGGACGGTGGCCCTGCGCCCCGACCTGCCCTGGCTGTGCTCCCAGCGCAGCCTCTACGTGGTGCATGAGGTCTTCTACGCCAGCAGCCTCTCGCTGGCCGTCACCCAGGACGCTGAGCACCGGCACTTCGTCCAGGAGGCGCCCCTCCCGCTGGCCTTCGCCTGCCTCAAGTTCGCCCTCAGCCACAAAGGCGTGCTGGGCTCCCAGAAGCCCATGGGCCGCAGCCTGCCCACCAGGGCAGCCTGGATGAGGACGGCCATGCTGGAGGCCTCTCCCCCGGCCCGAGCCCTGGAGGCCCCCCTGCCCAGGGAGAGGGAGACCATGGCCCTGCGCAAGCGATGGAGGGCCCTGGGCAGGCCCCTGAGGACGGTGACAGGTGAGGAAACGGGGAGGCCCCACCCCCCTCCTCCCCAAAGCAGGGATGGAGCCACTGTGCTCCACCCCCCACCCCACCCCCAAAAAAGCTAAACCCAGCTAGGAGGGCTTGAGGCTGCTTGCATGGCAGGCTGTGCTTCTGCCGGGGCAAAGGGCCACAGCTCCCCTTCCCTCCACGGTTATGGCCTCCCTGGGGCCCAAAGGACTTCTAGCCTGGCCAGAGAGCAAGGCCTCCCTGCTCACTCCCTTCCTGCCCCGGAGACGCCCATCCCCGCCCATGTACGTGGAGGAGGAGGATTGTGGGATCCTAGGAGATCTTGTTTCCTTGCAAACATTTCCTGACCCAACTAGGGAACGCTATCCGTGCTAGAGGGAGAGGGGCTTGCAAGGGGGCGGGAGGGATAAGCAGGCTTGGGAGAATGACCTCCCGTCCCAGTGACCAACTCGGATTGGAGGAGGAGGATTTGGGATTCTCGGGAGTGGGGGAATGGGGGGTGGTTTCTCCCTGGGGGGCTCCTGCCCCGACCCCCTCGTTCTGTGTCCCCACAGGGAAGTGGCCCTTCAAGCAGCGACGGCCCAAGCTGGGGTCCTCCTGCGGCAGCCTGGCTGACCCCGAGAGGCACTGCATGTCCCTGCCCCTGCTGCAGAGCATCGCGGCCGCCGAGAGCGACACGGAAGGGTGACCTGGACGGCAGCAGGCAGCCCCCCCCGCCCCCCCCCACCAGCAATAAATCGCCTTTTTTCGCATGTAGCAATGCCCAGACTCTGGCCTGGCGGGGGGGGGGG